CTCAATGGTTGCGAGACCCTAAATTTGCGCATGAGAGACATTCTTCGTCTTGAAATATTCGACTGCAGATGTTTACTTAGTTTAGCGAGGGTTGGATGGAGCGAACGTATAAGCAACTCTGAGGTAAGCTGTCGCGTATTTGGTAATGATTCGACGGAGAATTCGTTGTCCCATCGAATTCAGACTAGTCGGCTTCGCTGTTTATGACACGTATTGCGCATGCCCAATCATCGTCTGTCTCATTCGCAGTTGCGGCTCCAGATTGGAAGAAACCACGTGGAAGTCAAAAGATGACGTGGAAGCGAGGCATGAAGAAATGCACAGAGCGACTAAGTAGAATCGGTCTTCCGTCTTCCAGGTTGGGGTTCGAAAGACAATGCAACTGGCTGGCTGGAGACACTGAAGGATATGGCGACTAACCGACAGCAGTGGCATTCTTGTTGTCATTTCTAATCAGGTCTGAATGCTTGAAAAGTTATGTATGCACACTTAGATTGTGTACTCCGAGTTGACCATAAAGGTTCACTTTCTTTGCTTCTCTCCAATTGGGCCCTATCCCTCCCCATCCTATGCTTATCACTTGATTTGTGTGCATTGTGAGCTTGGAAGCGATCAGTGAAGTCCGCTTCACTGTATCTCGTTGTACGATGATGATTGCGACAGCTTGCTATCCAAGACATCAGTCCAGGAAGAAAGGCAAAATGGACTTTATTCTTGTTTGGGGCAGTCAAAACCGTGTTCTTTATTGCCAGAAAACATTCCTCTATGCCCATTTCTCTTAAACAGGAATCTTNTGTCTTCATTAAATTTCAACTCGAACATCCCTCATTCCCCAGATCCACGCAACCAATTGGGACTTTCCTCAAGTTCTTCTTGTTTATGGTCACCGTATATTTATCTACTTGCCTCTCACGATGCGCGCAAAAATCGGCTTCCTCTCGGGTGCCAGACGTTTCATCATCGCCATTCATCTCCTCTCGTGTTGGAAAGCTCAGATTCGCCATACACCTGGACATTGCAGTCATGTTTGGAGTGGAGCTCCGTACAAATCTTTCGCTTTTCGAGGGGGTTCGACATAAAATAATTCGTTCCATTAACGACCCGTCCTTAACATGAAACTTGCAGTCACTAGCTCACCGTCGACCAGTCGCTTCCTTATCATTATTCCCCCGCTACTATTTTCGATTTCGCCCTACTGAATTTGCCTCTTCTGTCCTTCTCCCTCTTCTTCTTCCTGCTGGGCACCGTACACAAGCGGCTAGCCACCCATTTCATGTGTCATTTCTAACTTTCAGTCATTTTTCTCAAAAGCTGTAGGACACTTCTTCTTTCGGTCTTCCTTCCAACTCACAACATCCTTAAATTTAAAAGCAGAATCAACAAGCTGGTTTTAGCTCGAATATTCCCTTTACCATCCCATGTACAGTATAACCTTGTATTATGGGGTTTACTCCGTTTTAGCGTATTCACTTGTGTAATAAAAAACTCAACTGAGGATCGAAGCAGCAACCACCAGGTGTGATACTTACGAACTTGCTATGACGGGTTGGGCTATTCAGGCATAGACAAAATTAAAAACAGTCTTATCAGCTGCTAAATGATCAAAGTTGTACTGTTTGCTTTTTACCGGTGAGGAACTAAGTTTCATAAATGGCTGGATCGGTGGATACGCAATGCTGATGAGACCCAAACAGGTCAAAGCAGCTGTAGTGCCTCCAAGCTTTTCAGTTCACGCTTTATTTCAGTACAAGATGAAATCCACTTCATCGTCCAAAGGTTTGAGTGCACAAGTAAAATCTTTATAAGTTAAAATAAAGCGATCACTGACAACTTTCACCATTCACCAATACAGGTGAGAGCAAACAACGGTTCCTTCGTCTCGGTAACTCCATGACATTGGTCGGGCAAGTTATATGATTGTCATTCATCGGTTGAACGAAATTGATCAATATTAATGTCGATCTAACTGTGCAAATACTGCCAGTTGACATCAGTCCTCCATCTGAAGTGGAGGTTGCCCGGGAAATAAGTCACCTCAAACGGCATAAGGCTTCCAGCCCCGACGGGCTGTCCTTATCCGTTTTTAAGAATGAAGGCTCAGCCTTGGTTTTGGAGTTAACAAATCTCCTGGGCTCAGTGTGGGAAAAGGAACAGGTTCCAACTGAATGGTGTGAAACGGTGATCATACCGATTTGCAAGAAAGGTGACAGATCCTCCTGTGAAAACCACAGGGGAATTAGTTTAATCAATATTGTCTCTAAACTTCTCGCGGGTATCATACTCCGTCGATTGTCTGCCGCACATGAACGGTGTACGCGTGAGAACCAGACTGTTTCCAGACCTGGTCGAGGCTGTATTGACTACATCTTCACACTCCGTCAAATTCNTAGACCCACCATTTTTATTTTCCTCGATCTGAAAGTGGCTTTCGACTCAGTCGACCGCTCTAAACTCTGGCGCTACCTCTCCCTGAAGGGAGTGCCCGAGAAGTTAATTTCAATATTACAATCCCTATACAGTAAAAGCCGAAGCCGAGTTCGAGCTTACGGCACCTTTTCACCCGAGTTCACCACGGAAAGTGGTGTTCGACAGGGTTACCCTCTCTCTCTCTCTCCCTCTCTCTGCGTTCCTATTTAACTTTGTCATAGATTTAATTCTTGAAACAGTCCTATCTTCGTGGGAGGATAGCGGTATCGATTTACTCCCAGGTGGCAGACTGTCTGATCTAGAGTATGCAGACGACGTCCTAGTGAAAATCCAGGTAAGTTACAAGCTTTTCCGGATAGTTTGAGTGCTAGTGTAGCCATGTTCGGTATGCGTTTTGCACCTTCAATGTGTAAAATGCTACTACAAGATTGGGTTGATCCAGCGCCCAGTCTTACCCTAACTGGGGAAGTAGACAAATTTTGCTAGCTGGGCAGCTATATCTCACCTAGTGGACGCATCACAGATGAAGTGTCGGCACGCATACAAAAGGCTCGATTGGCGTTTGCCAACTTAAGACATTTGTGGCGCCGTTGCGACATCCGGCTGTCTGTGAAGGGTCGAGTATATGCTGCAGCAGTTCGGCCAGTTCTGCAGAGACCTNAATAGATTGTCGGTGTTCGAACACCGCTGTCTACGTCGCATTGTACGTGTCTGGTGGAGTAACCGGACGAGCAATGCTGAGGTTAGGCGTAGAGTTTTAGGCAGTCGCGGTCGTCCATTAGCGCAAGTGATTGACCTCCATAGATTACGCTGGTTGGGACATGTGTTACGCATGCCATCAGATAGGTTGTCGCGGCGAGCGGTGTTTGCCAAGGCTGGTAGCGATTGGAAAAAAACGAAGGGCGGTCAAGCTAAGACCTGGCATGAGGGTATGAAAACCCTAACCAGGAGACTAGGTCACATAGACCCCATTAGGCTCCCTGGCTGGGGACCTCGGGATGATGGTCACCGATGGTTAGCTACACTGAGTGACATGGCTGGGTGTCGCAAACAGTGGCGCTCGTGGATCCACTCGTTATTTTCCTAACACCACTCTATATGTATTCCCTATCTTCTGCTTGAATTTGCTTCAACATCCCAATCTTCACTTCGCTCTTTTATCCAAATGGGCAACCAAAGACAGCAACCAAAACCGGCGCACGAAAGTGCATGGTTAATGGTTTTAAAAAACTGAAAAACCTTCCTTTCACAAGAAAAACCACAAAGACAACGGAATCCTCAAAACCTAGTGGTTTGAAAGACAACTTACTCGTTGAGTTCCTCCAATTTACGCTGTTTCTTGTCGACTTCATCTCGCAATTCTTTCACCTGAGCTGCATAGAGTTCTGACTGTCGTTTGAACTCCTCGTCTAGTTTTGCTCGAATCGAAGACTGTCCAGCTAATATTTGTTGGCTCTGAGCATCCGTACCAGTCATGAGCTGTTCGTTTGCTCGCAGTTTAGCAACTTCAGCATTCAAAGTATCTACAGTTTCTTGCAACTGACGCTTGCGAGCCTCTGATTCATCCACTTTGTCCGTAAGGGTGCTCAGCTTGACTTCCAGCTACAAAGAGCAAAGTTTAGATGAAAACGAACAAATACTTATTAGTAGAAGGCCCTGAACAAAAAGCGAGATCTCTATCCATAAACCACAAAAACAGATACAAGAGCAAAAGATCATCTGGTGATAAAATAAAATAAATAAGGAAAAGAGCAGATCAGCACATTGTGCATGAGATTTACCAAAATGTGGATATGCACGTCAGCACTGCTAAGTAAAGATAATTAGGCAAAATCAACAGCAATGTAACTCACCCCGTGAAGTCGAGTATGTAGTTCTTTGGACTCGTCTTCGCTCTTGCGCAACAACTGGACATGCTGCACACGCTCCTCTTCCAACTGACGGACACGAGACTGCAGGGACTTGGCTTCAGTTTTCATTTTGCTAATGTACAATCGCATAACGGTAAACTCTTCATCGAGACGTTCAGCCCCGCCAAACGATGGTTTCTAAGGTGGATTAAGTGGACCGTTGGTTACTTTCTGAAGACGCTTTCAGTCACAAAACCTAACCATATACTAAATCATTAGCTGAATGAGAATTAAAGGACCAGCAAATTGAGGAAAACGAATCTATTGCACCTGAAAGCTCCAATAAGATTTCAGAACAATCAGTAACTCTGGTAAGTTGACTTACTGTCAGTTGGTCGCTCATGCATTCGCCAACATCAATCAAGTCTTTGAGCAAACTGCTCATCATTTCTGTGTACTTCTTTTTCTGATTACTATATGTGTCCTTGAGTTGACTGAGTTCGCCATCTTTTGTATGCATTACGCGGGATTGTTTGCTGAGTTCCTCTTGAGTTTCCTCCAACTCCTTTGTTTTGAGTAAAATCTCCTGGGCTTTTTGGTCATAATTCATAGCCAATTCTTCCAAGGCTTGCAGGACCTCCTTGACTTCTTCTTTGCTAGACTGGTACTCAGCCTGGAACAAATACAACACAACAATCGATGCATGTGTTACAGTTAGTGTTGATGAAAAAGAACGGAAATGGAACCTCAAAATTCTAGTTAGTACCACTACTTGTAGAGTGAATATCATAAACGTGTCATAAAATGTGGATTTGGCGGGCTCAACAAGCATCATTGTAGTAGTGATCATTATCGCCATACAGCGAAATACAGTGAAGCGAACTTCACTGATCGCTGCCAAACTCACAATTCATACAAGCATAGTGGTAATATTTAAGGTGGACAGGGATTGGACCTATTTTGAGGGAGGGAGAAGGTGAACCTTTATGGTCAAGACAGAGTAAACAACCGAACTCTGCATACATACCGTTTCAAGCATTCTGGCCTGATCAAAAATGACAACAAGGTCACTGCTGTAGGTTTGCTACCATATTCTTCAATGCCTCCAACCAACCAGTTGCGGAGTCTTTCGGACCCCAACCTGGAAGGCGCGTGACACCTAGTCTACCTAATGGCTCGTTGCATCTATTCACGCCTCGTCTTCACAAGGTTTCCTCCAGCCTGGAGCGACTACGGCGAATGGAGCGCGGAGGAAGATGACAGCTGGGTATACGAAATACGTGTCCTAGCCAGCGTAGTCTAGTAATCTGAATTCGATATGCTAGCATGTTTATCGCTGATAGACTCCTATACACACGATGGTTTATCTCCAGATTACTAATCCGTTGGCTTCATCCCACGTGGGCCATCACGACGAGACTGTACCTTGACGTGGTGTGATGGCTTGTACACCTCTATGACCCAACGGGCTACACAGGATGGCTTTTGTCGAGCCAAAGATCTAATCATGCCTAGAAGGTCAGTGGGTAGAAGTCAGACAAAGTCGTCTCCTGGTCCTCCGGGTTGGGGATCGACTGAAATTTGCGTTTCAGTAGGTAAGACGTGTGGGAGGAATAATAGATCCAAGTTAATGGGCCTCCAATCCACCTTAACCGCTGCCTTGCGGTTAGGTTCTTGTCAGAACGGAAGGCTTTGGCTGAGAATTCTAATTGTTTTCCTGCTTAGTGGCTGGACACCCTGGCAGTACCCGTCCATAAAGCTCCAATGAACACAAACTCTAAAAATAATTTTATACTGCACCGGTCGTCGCGCAGAATAATCAGGACCGCGCTGCCCATTGCATCGAGTGGGGTGGGTAGTGATAAGTGGACTACTGCTCAGATATCCCAACCTTTGTTTAACTCTGTCTTCCGCACCGAACCCTATCCCTTTATCCCTTCCTCCGACCGGCAAGATTCCCTCAGACTACTTGGTCGTCACTCGCCAAAGGTAGTTGCCAAATAACACTGTAACTAGCTTTCCTGTAGATTCTGAAGGCTCGTCAAACTCTCAATCTGGGGGCTTTCAACGTGAGGACTCTTATTCAGGTAGGTCAACAGGTGTGTCTTGCGTGTACAATGGAGTCTCTAGAAATCGATGTCTGTTGCGTATCGGAGACACGAATTCAGGATCTGCGCCGGGAGTGTCGAGGTATTTCCTTCGCACATCAGGAGATGACGCAGCCCGCTCACGGGGTCGGCGTGGTGTAGGGATTGTACCGAACGATAAAACTGAAGCCTCTATGATAGATTGGATACCCATCAATAGTCGTTAGTGCGCAATGAGGCTACAAGGTTCAGTTAGTGTTCGGAAGGGTAGCAACACCAAAAGGTGTTTGTTCATCATTCCCGCGTATGCACCAACCAACTGCAGTCCCGCTTCACAAAAGGACGAATTTCACGACAAAATCGCCGAACTGACTCGGTTGAGCCGCAGCTCTGAAATTATAGTGCTGGCAGGTGATTTTAACGGATAGGTTGGAAAACTGAGCGCATCCGAAGCCTGTCTAGGAGGGCA